GTCTTCAGTAGCGATATACAGCGACCCTGGGACCGAGATGGGCTTGACGCATTCGTCTCCCACCGGATCCGGCGAAAACCGGCGGCGGACGAGCTAGTTCGATGCACCCGCGACAGTCTTCAGGAACTGCCACTCAGCCACCTTGGAATCCGGGAAGAAGGTCAGATAGAAGCGCTGTAGATCCTCGGACAGGGCCTGCGCAGTATTGTCAGGCACTAATGCCCGAACACGATTGTCATCAGTGAGCACATCGTTCCAAGTCTCGTGGATCCATAGGTTCTTGTTGTCACGAGCCAAGGAGCGAAGGTGGTCGGTCACGTCGTCGGGAACCGCGCGGTACATGACGACAAAGCCCTTCTTTTGGAAGTTGTGGATAACGTTCATAGCACTGCAGTTGGTGGTTGTTGTGCGATGTTTGCGAGGCTTGGTAGTAAGATGCTTGCCGAAGCTGTATAATTGGGAAATGCGGTGAAGATTTATGTCAAGCTCGACAATACTCGCACATACCCGTTGTTGAACAGCAAGCAAGTTGGCTTCCTCCATATTTTTCGACATATTAAAGCTCATCTCTTGCTCTCGTCAAAGCAAGATACGAATGAGGCAGGCAGGTCCTTGACGTTAATCCATGCAGCTTTCTTACTCATAGCCGACAATGCTTTTGCTTGCATCGATTGAACGCTTCCTAGCAGAGTATGCTAGCTTTCGATTTCAACTGCTCATATCAATTTGTGTTGCGCTTTTACTGGAAGCAACATGCTCATGCGATCGAGAAGACATCATCGACTCGGAAACAACGCCAACTTTTTATTCTTGCGCAACGACAGAGCGGTTTCTCAAATATGAAATCAAAATGGTTTGGTAGCTTTAAGGTACAGAAAGATATGAATATGGATGTCTGTGCGCAAGTGCTCATTACAAGCATCAAGTTGCGGTGGAAGCTTTGTCTTGTAGCGTTAGTGTTGAAAAATGCAGTGGTTGAATCACAGGACTGGCCTTTAAATTTCAAGTACCACAACATCTTTTGAAGGAGTTGCAAGAACGTCCACCAATTATCGGACACATACCAACTAATGTGCGGCTGTGGTAGCCATGGCATGTTTTTTTGTGTTGATGCCATACCGTGAAACCGTTGGGTCGCAACGGATGTCATGGTATGATTTTTTATTTTGGTACCATACCGTGAAACTTGTTGGATCGCAAAGGATGCTGTTGGTATATGCCTTTGCGCTAGCACTCCACAAATCGGTAGCCTAACATCAACCTCCTGCTTTAGTGATCTAGCGAAGTAATTGGCTTGCCTTTCAAGCTCAAACAAACTGCGTAGGGAATACTGCTTCGGTTTGCTTGTTGGTTTGTCATTCTGCTAACAAAACCCGCTAGATCAGATTCGCTCGCCCGCACGCCAATTCGAAGCATTGAAGAGTATCTTCAACTGGTACCTCATTTTAAAATGGGGACCCACCATCACCACATTCTATCCCGCATGCGTCAGACGTCAGGGGCAACAT